CATTAATGATATCCCCCTATAGTTGTCAGGGCCTCTCGGATCGCCTTTTTTGAGGTAAAGGGACTATTTCTGAACAAGACCAACTGCTGGGAAATATTTGAATATCAAAGAGTTTGTTGAAACATTTATGGAGAAAAGGCATTATATCAAATTGGGAACATTTAAGCATCTCTATGAGCACTTGATCGGGTCCGGCAGATTTTCCGTTTTTCAGCTTGTTTATGGATGATATAATTTCATGTTCAGTTATATTAGAATTTAGAATGAATGCATCAATATATGTGAACTGATCTGAAAAGATAACATCTTCATCATCCAAGTGAGGAGAAAAAACATTGTTATTTCAAAAAACATTTTTAAAATGGTAAAGCCATTCTGTTTTCGTTATAAGATTTTTCTGTTTGGGTTTGTTTTGTAATGATCTGATCTGTTTCCAAAAGCTAGATTGACAATGTATGCTTTTATGCAATCTTTCTACTGATTTCTTACATGAAATGAATTTATATTTTCTGCAACAAAATTGATAATGATTTCTTTGTCTACAATATGTTATTCTGTTAGCGACAGTACTTTGTGTTCTAAATCTCCTAAGTGCCCTATGTGTTTCTCGTTTCGCTTGTCTACATTCTAGATTGAGTGTTTTTTTATTATTAGCAGTTTGGGAACTATGTCGGTCTGGCTTTTTCATGCAGCTAGCAGAGTCTGATACAATCTCGATAAAGTGACTAATTGCTTTTCAATAGCATTATTAATTTCTTTTAGGAGCATTTCTTTGTTTTCAGCAATCTTATATCTCAGGTTATCAAGAAACATATTAGAATAAGAATCATTCCATACAATTTTCTCTGATGCTGTTGGATCCATGCATGAATCATTGTTACACCTATTACCCATATTTGGAAATTTACACATCAATTCTAGTGGGAAGTGATCAGAATCACATCGATCACCGATACTGAACATATTGATGAACTGAAAAAATCAGGTGAACTTAAAAAATAATCATTTACACTGGAGCCATGTTGGCTACAATAAATAAATTCCCCATTAGTATCACAATAGACTCGTCCATTTACGATGTAAAGTTTAAAAGCATAGCATAAATCCAACAACATTTTGCCAAATCTATTTACAACTGTATCCTGTGAAGTACGATCTTCAACAGGGTCATCCTCATCATCAGGGAAAGGGGTACTATGCCTGAGGGTATCGTCGTGATTGTTAATATTAGGGTTATTTCTCTCACCTTTTCTCGCGTTCATATCTCCACAAATTAAATTATATGAATTTGAAAACATTTCATTATAATCTAACAAGAATTCTTCTACTTTTACAATATTACACTTGGTGGTAACATGGTTATAGTATGGTGACCCCGATGGAGGGACATAGGTACATAACAAATTCACATTTTTGTCAATGCTAAATATGTCTTTAAATAAGGAGAGACCAATTATGTTGTCTCTATCTGATTGTATAACATTATAGAAACTACTCAGTGTTTGACGTACACACAGACAAATACCACCTGATAAACGTCCGTAGTTGGATAACTTAACTGCAGGACAATAGAAAGTATCATACCCATGTAGCCAGTTGTTTCCTGGAATATTTACAACAAATGTCTCAACAAGGCACACAATATGAAATTTACTAATATAATATAAAAAGTCAACATCATTTATTTTTCTGAGAAGACCGCCAACATTCCAACATAAGAAAGAGACCGTGCCTCTTTCGGTAACACTGTGAGCGGGATTACCACCGGTGTTCACATCAGAGGTTCCTTGTGCGAGAAGATCCGGGCCATGGCCATTGTCCTATTTCACAGGGCGCGACTTACTTCTATTTCGTCGAAGTCTGTCCGACATTCGGTCTCCTGTATCTTGTGAAGTAGATCCACGTTGATCAGCCGACGTACGAGGCATCGTGACAAGCTTGCCATTCTGGAAGAAGCCGAATTTTCCCGTTCCTTTCAGGGCTTGCAGTTGTTGGCGTTGACGCGTGATTAAATCACTTCCAATTCCAAGTCCATTCGATTTAAATGTCGCTCTGGCTTTCAATGTGCGTACCTTGTCGTCGGAGAGCACCAGTTTAGCAATTATTGGTCGTGGTCTGTCACTACCAGGCTCCTTCACACCGAGGCGATGGGCGCGCGCAACATCAGACGGTTGCCACGTTTTGAATGTTGCGTTATCATTAAGTACACTGATCGATTTTCTTTACAAGATATCGATTTTTCGCCTTCATCTTCATCAATACCATAGATAATAATGTTGTCTCGTCGACTAAATGACTCGAGTTTATCGAGTTCAGCGTCAATTTGTGAAAGTCTGTCATTAATGTAATCCACTTTCTCATCAACCGCATCGACGTCAGAGTGTATTATGTGATTCTCAGCTTCAATTTTGTTGATGTTTGATTTCAATTCCGACACTGATTTTTCTAGATTTTCACACTTAGTTCCGATGCTTTTTACTTCCGTTCTTAGGTCAGAAATATCTTTGCCTAGTTCAGATTTGACGTTTCTCAGTTCGGTGAGGATTGCGTCTTTAATGTTGTCAATATCTTGTAAGGTTACAGGCCCGGGGTTTGACTCGACGTCATTTGCACACAATAGTATAAGAGGCATAACCCGCTTGGGCAACACGTGCATCTCACCTGGATCGCATACATTTCGTATATGGGTCAACATCATGCAGTATGTGATTGACGGGATACCTTGTTCAAATCATCAATAATAGTAGGCTGATCAAATGTTAAGTCCGCAAGGTAAGTTGCAAATATCCTGTGGTATTTCACACATATCGTTCCCAGACCCATGATTAGACTGCCGACAATAGCCACACTGAGCACTCGATACGCGAAGCTCATACCTGGTGTCCATCTTGTCTCGCCTGTGTAGCGTTCAACTTTGTCGATGTTTCTGTGTCCACGGGGAGGGATGAAACACCCGATCCTTGCTTGCCAAACATCCAGTGTTATACCCATAGTGGTCTAAATGCAGATTTGTGTCCAAAGTGGTATTAGTGAGCCATCTTAAAGACGATATTCACAATTTTGTAGGAGAGCTGAAACCTGCGACTTCCCACCTCACACACGTCACACGTCACCAAAATATCGATACTGCATGTTGTTTATTTACTATAACCTTTTTAACAAAGGATTCTAAACGTACCTAATCATCAACGGTACTGCGATTTTTCCTGAAACCACATTGATAATTTGTTATGAGATTATTGATTTCAAGATACCAAGTTAATCTATTGTTAACCATTCGTTCAATGGTTTTACAGACACAACTCGTTAAAGACATTGGTCTGTAATTAGATGGATCCCGGCCAGGCTTTGGAATAGGGAGAAAAATGTCGAAATTCCCTGAAGTCCATATCGTATCAAAAATATTTAGAAGTGTTTCCAAACATGATTCAGGTAAATGCTTCATATTCCTTGAATGATATAGACTTACGATACCTTCTCGGAGGACAATAAATGTATAATACTTTAACCCCGTCAAGAAACAACTATAGCCTACCAAATATTTAAATATACTCAAAGGCACAAGTTAGTGTGATCAACACATTTGTTTATATAAATGAGATTTTTTTAAGGTATATAATACTTCTTATAATACACTTAATCCAAAACCCAAACAGGGACCTGTCGGTAGTTTTTGTTTTGCATGCGGTTTTCGGACTTCGGGTTTTCGGTGAAAAAAGGCATAAAACGTACATTTTAAATGAGTCTGGCACTACACCATGAAACATTGTCACCTTAATCACTGTTTAGACGTCCACGAGTCCGAAAAAAACACAAAGGTGGAAGAACCTGCTTGCATTCCTCTATGCCACGGCTGCTGAAAATGAAAGCCACTGGAATGCTTGAAACCGGAACACACCAGTGCAACGTTGCACAGCAGTTTAACATGCAAAGGAACACCATATGCCGCTTGTGGAAACGTTATCGAGAAAACGCTGTCGTTGCAGACCGTCACTGAAGTGGCCGTCCACATGTAACCTCACCACGCTACGATCGTTGGATTTAACCAGCCATACTGACAGCTCGAACGGTTCCTGGTGTCAACAGGTTAACACCAAGGACCATTTGCTGGCGTTTGACTGCACACGAGATACGTGCTAGACGTCCTACCAGACGACAAGTTATAACATTACCTCACCAACGTCTACGACTGCAGTGGTGCAGGCAACATCAGTGGTGGAGAGCGCATGATTAGAGACATGACGAATTCAGATTCCTTTTGCACCGCGTTGATGGCCGAACCCGAGTTTACCGGCGTCGTGGTGAGGAACTGTGTACTTGAGGCCAACCGTTTTGGAGGAGGCAGATTGACGGTTTGGGGTGGAAAAACGAGTGTTGGACGTACACCTTTGCTTGTCCTCAATAAATTACACGGGTCTCAGGTACAGAGACCAAATTGTTAATCAAGTCGTCATACCGTTTCTTCAGCAGAATGGTCCAGGAATGATCTTCCAGCAGGAAAACGCCAGACCTCATGTCGCTAGGGCGGTTCAGCAGTACTTGGCGCAGCAGAATGTAAACGTTCTTCTCTAACCCGCTAAATCTCAAGATCTGGCCAGGATCGAACATGTCTTGGTCGAAATTGAAAGAAGATTGATGTTGAAAGTATTTTCCGGGAAGTAAGTTGTGCCCCCCTTTGTTACACGCATGTGCTAAGGTGATGACGTAAATCTTGCTGGTGAAGCGCTCATGGTGCTGTTGTTCAGAAAACAATATTCCAGCTGAGTATGGTTTTTTTAACAATTACACCGTATGTTCCCAGTGAGGTGATGCAGTTTTGTTTACTATTGGCTCATAACACATGTTTAAAACTTCTCTGCTGTTTGTGTGATGTAAAAATGTGTATGACAAATTCCCCCCTTGGCGCTAGGTGTAGCCATCCTGTTTATGTGTATATGTCCATGTGTCAACTATTCACTTTAGTTCTGAATAACAATAGGAAAGAGTCAAACTTGTCTTACGTGCTCGATGTTCTTGCATCAGCTTCCAGAAGTTGCAGTTCTGTGATAAAAGCGAATTAAAGCATCAATAAATACAAATAAAAGTGATCAAATGAAGTTCAGTGTGAGGTTTAATATCACGTTATCGTACGCTACATCAATGTTTGAATCGAGACTGCTCAAGACTGACATGACCTAAGTATTCTTATTTTTAAGTTTCTTTCCTGTGATTTTCTGGTGATGTTAATCCTTCCCGGGAAAGCATTGTTTCCCGGGAAACTAAATTTGAGGTAAAATATGTGTTCCTATCAATACATCTCATAATGTACGACATGTCACATTTGGCAAACAAATATGGACCAAAAGGTGTTTAAGTCACTGAAAGGGAGGAAATTCTTCCCATATACTTACCATTGTAAATTTCTCTGATTCTTAACGTGGTCTTTACAGATTTGTATAGTGAACTCCTTTGTCCACTCTGTGAGTCACGTCATGAATGTACATATGCAAGTTTTCGGAGAGCTCGTATTTAAAAGGAAAACATATGTAACTCAATGTTGTTTCGGTGTTGATTCTAAAATATAATCAACACATAGGAATAAATGTGTATGATACGAATGGGATAGTTGTAAGCGCATTCTATATTGGCCTGTTTTTTTTATAAGCAGAATGAAATTAGAACTGTTGGGTATTTTCAAAAAGTTAATATATATCCAAATAGAGAAATAGAGTGAGTGAGTTTGGTTTTACGCCACTTTTGGCAATATTCCAGCAATGCTGGAAAAAAAACCAGTGCTTTCCCAGGAAGGATTATCCTGTTGAGAACTAATTAGAACTAAGTTCCAACGTATGGTAACAGTCAATTACATTATTGTGAAAGATCCCTGTACCATCGATGTAAATACCTAGTATTCGTACACAATCACATGTGTTGTAATTTGAGATGACAGAATGGACAATTTACACTCATATGTATAATTTAAGGTAGATTAGCTCAGCTACCATACTTATGTAAGCTATTAAGTATCGTTAATTTTCATAGTTGTGTTTCGCCGAGAATACATTGATTACAAAACTAAAACGGATTTGCGAATTTCACCTTTCATATACTCCGTGGTGAAAGTTCTGAGCTCAGTACTCTCGTGGCATCAGTTTTCATAACATATTTTTTCCATCTCAACGCAATAAATTTCTAATAGAGACAAGAGTCATCAGAAGATGACAAATCCCCGGCCCCCATAAATTTGAAAGAACAAATCAACTGACAATTACTTAAAAACAACTTGAATTTTTGGACAAACTCCAAGCTGTTACCATGGAAATCATGAAAGATAAACATGCCAAAACTCTGCAAATAGCAACAGGCAATACTTCAAGATCTGTGTGATATATCTCTTAAGTCTTGTAGAAAGATATTTAGCGGTTTTCGAGTTGTGATCCGGAACGAAACTCACACCTCCCTTTTGAGACTAAGTCTGAATCGTTTCCATGGAAACCAAGATAAATAAAAATGACAAAAATCTGTAAATAGCAATAGGCACCACTTTAGCTTATGTCTTATATATCTACCAAGTCTTGATGAAAGATATTAAGAAGTTTTTAGTTGTGCTTCGGAAACGAAGCCCACCCCTCCCTTTTGAGACTAATCCGAATCGTTTCCATGGAAAACAAGAAAAATAAAAATGACAAAAATCTGTAAATAGCAAAAGGCACAACTTTAGCTTATGTCTGATATATCTACCAAGTCTTGATGAAAGATATTCATCGGTTTCCGAGTTGTGCTTCGAAAACGAAGGTCACCTCTCCCTTTTGAGATTAAGTTCAACTCGTTTCCATGGAAACCAAGAAAAATAAAAATGACAAAAATCTGCAAATAGCAAAAGGCACCACTTTAGCTTATGTCTGATATATCTACCAAGTCTTGATGATAGATATTACGAAGCTTTTTAGTTGTGCTTCGGAAACGAAGCCGAACCCTCCCTTTTGAGTCTTAATCCGAATCGTTTCAATGGAAACCATGAACAATAAAAATGACATAAATCTGTAACTAGCAAAAGGCACCACTCCAAGATCTGTCTCATATATCTGCCAAGTTCTGTTTAGAAAGATATTGAACGGTTTTCGAGTTGTGTTCCGGAAACGAAAATAATAACCAACCCTCCCTTTTGCTGCTAAGTCCGAATTGTTTCCATGGAAACCAAGAAAATAATAACTGTTAATAGCAAAAGGCACCACTTTTAGGATCTGCCTCATCTATCTGCCAAGTCTTGATGAAAGATATTAAGAAGAGTTTTAGTTGTGCTTCGGAAACGAAGCCCACCCTTTCCTTTTGAGACTTATCCGAATCGTTTCCATTGAAACCATGACAAATAAAAATGACAAAAATCTGTAACTAGCAAAAGGCACAACTTTAGCTTATGTCTGATATATCTACCAAGTCTTGATGAAAGATATTCATCGGTTTCCGGGTTGTGCTTCGAAAACGAAGCTCACCTCTCCCTTTTGAGATTAAGTTCAACTCGTTTCCATGGAAACCAAGAAAAATAAAAATGACAAAAATCTGCAAATAGCAAAAGGCACCACTTTAGCTTATGTCTGATATATCTACCAAGTCTTGATGATAGATATTACGAAGCTTTTTAGTTGTGCTTCGGAAACGAAGCCGAACCCTCCCTTTTGAGTCTTAATCCGAATCGTTTCAATGGAAACCATGAACAATAAAAATGACATAAATCTGTAACTAGCAAAAGGCACCACTCCAAGATCTGTCTCATATATCTGCCAAGTTCTGTTGAAAGATATTGAACGGTTTTCGAGTTGTGTTCCGGCAACGAAGCCCAACCCTCCCTTTTGATACTAAGTCCGAATTGTTTCCATGGAAACCAAGAAAATAATAACTGTTAATAGCAAAAGGCAGCACTTTGGGATCTGCCTCATCTATCTGCCAAGTCTTGATGAAAGATATTAAGAAGAGTTTTAGTTGTGCTTCGGAAACGAAGCCCACCCTTTCCTTTTGAGACTTATCCGAATCGTTTCCATTGAAACCATGACAAATAAAAATGACAAAAATCTGTAACTAGCAAAAGGCACAACTTTAGCTTATGTCTGATATATCTACCAAGTCTTGATGAAAAACGATATCTCAACTCGTTTCCATGGAAACCAAGAAAAATAAAAATGACAAAAATCTGCAAATAGCAAAAGGCACCACTTTAGTTTGTCTGATATATCTACCAAGTCTTGATGATAGATTACGAAGCTTTTAGTTGTGCTTCGGAAACGAAGCTGCTTCCATGAAATAAATCTGTAAGCTCACCCAAGATCTCTCCCTTTCTGTTGAGATATTGAACGGTTTTCGAGTTGTGTTCCGCAACGAAGCCCAACCCTCCCTTTGCTGCTAAGTCCGAATTCCATGGAAACCAAGAAAATAATAACTTCACCACTTTGGGATCTGCCCTCATCTATCTGCCAAGTCTTGATGAAAGATTAAGAAGAGTTTTAGTTGTGCTTCGGAAACGAAGCCCACCCTTTAGCCGAATCGTTTCCATTGAAACCATGACAAATAAAAATGACAAAATCTGTATATCTTACCTGAATATCTACCAAGTCTTGATGAAAGATATTCATCGGTTTCCGGGTTGTGCTTCGAAAACGAAGCTCACCTCTCCTTTTGAGATTAAGTTCCACTCGTTTCCATGGAAACCAAGAAAAATAAAATGACAAAATCTGTAACTCTGCAAATAGCAAAAGGCACCACTTTAGTTTATGTCTGATATATCTACCAAGTCTTGATGATAGATATTACGAAGCGTTTTAGTTGTGCTTCGGAAACGAAGCCGAACCCTCCCTTTTGAGTCTTAATCCGAATCGTTTCAATGGAAACCATGAACAATAAAAATGACATAAATCTGTAACTAGCAAAAGGCACCACTCCAAGATCTGTCTCATATATCTGCCAAGTTCTGTTGAAAGATATTGAACGGTTTTCGAGTTGTGTTCCGGAAACGAAGCCCAACCCTCCCTTTTGATACTAAGTCGAATTTTTTCCACGGAAACCAAGAAAATATAAATGCCCAAAATCTGTAAATAGCAAAAGGCAGCACTTTGGTATCTGCCTCACATATCTGCCAAGTTTTGCTTAAAGATATTAATAAGATTTCGAGTTGTGCTCCGGAAACGAAGCTCACCCGTCCCTTTTGAGACTAAGTCCAAATTGTTTCCATGGAAACCAAGAACATAATAACTCACAAAAGTCTGTAACTAGCAAAAGGCACCACTTTAGGTTCTGTTTGATATATCTAGAAAGTTTTACAGAAACATATTGATCTGTTTTTGAGTTATGCACAGGAAACGAAGCCCATCCCTCCCTTTAAGACTAAGTCGTTTCCATGGAAACCAAGAAAAATAAAAATGACAAAAATCTGTAAATAGCGAAAGTTTCTGTTTGATATATATTTTTGTTGAAAAATATTGAACGATTATTGAGTTGTGCTCCGGAAACAAAAGGATAACGGACGGACAAGGCGTCCTCTACATCTCTCTCCTCCACGCTCAATACCTTGTAAGAGGCCATTGTGACCAACTATGTGCACAGAATGATCTATTGCAAATGCTTAGAGCTGTTTGCGTTGGCTTTTATCAAACACCTGGCACTGCAACTGCCAGGGTTTCTGCTCTTTCGTTTGGCTTCAAGTGATATAACAGTCGAGTTTTATTATTTTGCTCTATATTACACCAACATGAATCAGAAATTCAGAAATCAGTGAGAAAGATCATAAAGTCTTCTACGTAAAAACTTCAAGCTTACTGAGCCGTACACATTTATATAGATGTGTCAAAAGTAAATATTTATTACCCGATGGTTTGTCTTGACTAATATTCGGAAACTGTGGGGATGATTCATTCTCCAGTCTCTCCTGCTGAGCAGACAGATATTTCAGTAGGGCTGTTCGCACTTCGTGACGTGCATATACGCTCTCATGATCGGCATCCTTTGTACGTATTTGTTGTTGGAATTTGTCCGATGCCTTAAAATAGGAAATAAACACATATGCAGAAGGAAGAAAACAAAGTGTGGTTGTGGAGGACAAACAAAATATATCGTGTATCATGATTGTTCGATTTCCATGTGGGGTAGTCTCACATACTCGAGAAGCATTCCGTTGATTATTACACCTATTCCTGTTGGCATACCTATACATTCCTTCCTTTTATTGCGTTTCAAAATTTGAAAAGTAATGAACACTGCCAAATCGAAATACAAATTTCACTTGGAACTATATTATATAACTGTGAAAGGTGTCTGCAACTCTTCGCTGAGCTTGTGCCGTGTCAAATTCAAACAATATTTAAGGACTACCTCTTTTCTTGTTTAAGGTCACTGCAGTTCAACTGGTGAAAACACAAAATGTGTACGTACACCTTGTTTGGGTATGGCAGTCGCGTGTGCTGTATTCTCCAAAGATGGGGAAGGCCTCTCTGACTCAGGGTCCTTGGACAGGTGTTTCAATAAAGACTTCATAATAGCTGTACACTTGCCCTTGTCCATATGCAGTTCGGTGGGAAAACGAATGCGTTTGGTTGAATTCACAGCCTGGTTGATTCTTGTCAGGAAACTGTGTTTCTCTTGCCATGAAAGGTTATCTATAGTGACGTGTACAACACTGAAGTCAAACTTTGTATCGTCCTTCACATGGCTAATAAAAAACGACGCAAACTTGGTGTTGTATTGAATGTTCTTGTGGCTGTCTCCACCACCTGCTGTGAAAGTCAGCACCATGACAGTCTGTGTAGGGGAGAACACACACGCATCACACAGGACAGACGCAGGTACTCGTCCCTCCCAGGTCGGGTCCATCATCTTCAGTAAGCTGCCTCCTGCGATGATGACTGTACAGTCTCTGTCTGGTAGGTCTCTCAGTCTCTGTACAATGTGGGCATACTCTGCGTTGAGTGTGGGTTCAATATTGATCGGGAAAATGCCAAAGACTGAAACAGCCATCTCAAAATTAGTATGATATATTGTTTTAATTAATTGAGTCACACGTGCTCACCGTTCACTCGTCATTATCAGATAGACCGTGAATACGGACATGTAAACAAAGGAAGGTGCATTAGTTTTTCTTAAAGTGAGTGAGTTAAAATTTATAGTCACATCGGCAATATTTCAGACTTAAAAGGTTATACCTGTCGACGAAGGACAGTAAAATAGCTAGAGTATCACAGTTAGAGAATTAAAACTAGCAAGTAACTTTTAAAATTAGACAAATAGTACAGACAATATAATATAAAACACAGGCTATAGATCGCCAACAACTGAAGGTAGATCACCATTTTTTTCTAAAAGCCATTTACATGTGTTGTAACTCGAAAAACAATAATTATCCACAGGCCGTTGACTCGAAAGTAAATGTACACCTGGTTTAAACATATTTATCTTCTGAAACCTGGGTTGGTAAGCAAGCATTTTATGCTTATATAAATACCGCCCCAGGAATGTACACCTAGACGTAACTTCGGTTTGACCTAAAGTGTATATGTGATAAAACACAAGCATAACTTCAGTTTGGGCCCTGTATGTCCACAGTGTAGACAAGTATTGCATGGTTTGCTACAAACGAACAAATAACACACAGACGCACACCCATACTCACACAGAGCAGGCTCACACACACATATCACACACAGAGAAAAGCGCATGATCCTATTATTTTTTACTGTAGATGTCTAAATCAGACAAAAACACAATTGAAAACAATTTGCTTAACATTGCCAAACCAAACATCTTCCAATACGTACATGGTTGTTTCGAGTCTCCTGAGAGTATTCCCAGTATCTGTTTTTGTTCCGTTTTAGAGACAATACTTGATAGGTGAATATCACCTGAAACATGTACATCAAATGGTTAAATCATACATAAGGTCATAAATATAGTAATTATTCTTAATCATATCAGAGGCAACAAAGTCTCACCAGAAGTCTTGAATCCTGGTGCTGGATCATCAGGGTCAGACAGGTCATCATAGGTCGGTAATGGAACTTCTCCTTCTGAGCTGTACCGGCTGGAAATACTTGAGTCATCACTCTCGCCACTATCACTCATGCTTCCTGGAATGTCTAAATGCTCATCCATGGTGAACGTCTATTAAACTATATCTGGGTGGCTTGAAATCGCTCTAACCAGGCAGCTTTGTCCATCCGCTTTATAGCATTGTTCTTTACTTCATACGCCCTCGGTCCGTCCTTGTCACTGAAGATGATACCATCATACCAACGAACAGCTACTTCCAGAACCCGTCTCTTGGTTTCAGGAATTGGATATAAACACACTTCAATCAAATCGTCAGGGACACTACAAAAGGTACCTGTTTGTAAAGCTATTGTCTCATTTTGAAGTTTAGCTTTAATTTCTCTAATAATCTCAGATGCTTCGAATTTCAGGCAAAACCCGTCAATGTCAAGAAGTTTGGTTCTGTAACTCTCAAACTCCAGAGGTTCCTCCTTTATCCCAACAAAGTATGACCCGCCTCCCTCAACCTTGGACATAGAAGTCAAGTTATCTTTAAGTTTGAGATCATGCCATATATAATCTGCGAAATCTGACAGACTTTTAGAAACTTGCTTTGCTATTTGATTTTTCAGTTTGTCAACATGGAAACATTTGACCTCAGTATTTCTGCCCTCATGGAGATCTTGAATATTTTCACATAAACCTTTCGTCTTGGGTTTCTGTGTATCCGTGTTAGTCTGTCTACTAATCATGCATTTAGCCAAACTGGCGGGAGTTACTGACACGTTTTCAATATCGTTCCTTGCTTTCGTGTTAAAATCAACAGTGGCTACACCATTCGTTTCCTTCACATTCACTAGAATGAAGTCAGTATGGCCTTGAAAGTTATGAATCTCAGAGAGCCATTGGCGCCTGTATATGTCCACATACAACTCTCCGTCATCAAGGAGATCAGACAGACTCCTGGTAATGAACTCATCAAACTGTTCCAGACACCTGTCCTCGGATAGTTGACCCTCTACATGAATCAGAACTTGGCCTCCTCCGCTGTTCCTCCAAGCTGAGACTACCTTTCCGAGTCTGTCAAGAGTTTTCTTTTTCTTTTCTAAAAGTGGCCCCGATTTCTTTCCAGCACAGATGGTAGACCGGGTTGTGTGGATAGAAATTACGTTAACACTGCTGTATGCAGACGTGTATGAATTTCCAACCGCCCTACATTTTTGGCATCCATCTGGAAAATGTACAAAAGACAGAAAACATATTTGGAAGAATACGTGGCTTACTGAAAACATGCATCAATATCCTTAAAAAATAACACATGCTTTCTTCCGGAAATCTGGGTCAGAACTATTCAATGTGCTGGTGGCATGTTGTCGTATATAAATGGGTTGAACATTTATCATAGTAATTGTAAGTGATTGGTTGCTCCAGATTTGTATTTTGACGTGTATCTATAGTTTAGTTGGAATATTGATGTTGTGTTGAAAGACACACACTCGCTAACTCACTAGTTATTACGCATAAAATATTATTAACGTGGCACAGGTTGTATCCCAACATTTTACTGCTTGAAACGTTGAAAAGATTATTGTCATGAGTTCAAAAAGTGATGAAAGTGAAAATTGGCGATTTCTTAACAAAACGTTACACCCAGACGCAGCTGTTTACATGCACGATACTTGCACATGCTTTTCAGCAATTTGAAGCATGATCCTCGTGCAATTCATCTGCATAAGGTTTGCAGTTGGTTCCTCCAAGTTAGTGGAGAAATTCATCTCCAATGTAACCATATATATATATATATATGCATAACATATAGTGAGTGCTTTAAGTGAGTCTAAACTTTTGATGGGTAGTATACATATACAATTATTATATAAAAAATATTAAGTAGTAAATAATATTATTACCTATATACTTCTTAGTGACTTCTGAATAGCAGGATGACATGACATCATAATCATAGTGATGCCATCCAAGATGCACCAGTTTGCCATGAACCGGTCAATCACCCTAATTCCTGAAAACAAGCAATGTCCGAATTAAATGAAAAAGAAAAGATGCACATGTTGCTATATTTATTTGCACAGTGGGGTGCTTAAGTTTAAAATTTGAAGTTCATTTTCAAAAGATTTACAAATGGTCCTCAGGCAGCCTTTAGAAAGCGTATAATCTTTGTAAATTTTAGATGATTTTACTACTACTCTATTCAGTTTCTCCTTTTCCTCTTTCTATGGATCCTCTTTTTAACATCTCCTCAATATCTATGTCAGGAAGAGTATATTGACTTAACTATTTTAAAGATCTCTTGCTCTATTTGAATGACCACACAAAACAAAGTTCATATATTGCTTCTTGCTTGTGAGAAATGCATACATGAGAATAACTGCAGGAACAAGCTGCATTTTGATATAAATCATTTATGCGCTATAATAATATAGCTGCACATGACGCAAGGAGAAATAGCATAAATGTTGTCCCCAATAGTGTGAGGACTATTTTAATGTTAGTATTTTTCTCTTTGCAGTTCTCCGTGATCAACCAGGAACGAGTCTAAATTAGTATAACTTTACTCAGTCTGCATCTGTCTTCTTCTGTTTCGAAATTGATATTAACTGCGATAAGAACAATGTTATATGATATAAAATATATAATAACTGATTTCCTAGGCGCCTTTATTTAGAAGTATCCATCGTGGTGCTCATTGGCGCAATGACATTGGAAGTTCTGTGCGCAATGTATACACACAATCCTGAAAGTCTGTGAATGCTGAGCGGAGGGGATGAGTTTCAAGGAGAGACCTAAAAAGGTCTCTGTATTTGGTGTTTCTTAGTTCAGATGGCAGATAGTTCCATAACAGGGGACTTAAAACAGAGGAGGCACGGTCAGACATCGTAGAAGTAGACAGAGGCTGGTTAAGTAGAGTGTGGTTGGTTGGTTGTTGTTAACGCTGCACTCAGCAATATTCCAGCTATATCGCGGCGGTCTGTACATAATCGAATCTGGACCAGACAATCTAGTGATCAACAGCATCTCCGTGACATGCGCAAACCACGTCAACGAGCCTGACCACCCGATCCCGTTAGTCGCCTCTTACAACAAGCATGGGTTCCTGAAGTCCAATACTAACCTTGATCTTCACGGGTCGGTTAACTACAGCACCACTGGAGGATCGAAGTGCACGTTCATAAAAATAAAGGGACATCAAGTCCTTTAGGTGTAAAGGACAGTTACCATTGTTGAGGTTTGGTTGTTGATTAACGCCGCACAATATTGGCTGCGGTCTGTAAGTAATCGAACCTGGACCAGACAATCATGTGATAAAGAGCATGAGCATCAATCTACGAAACTGGGATACAATGACATCTATAATTGGTCAACCAAGTCAGCGAACCTGACCACCGTTAGTCGCCTCTTAGTTTTAACTCGGATCTTCATGTTTTCATCATTGTTGATGAATCAGTGCGTGATAAAACAGATCTTGAAGATATTGATGCAAGACACTACACGGTTTTGAGAGCACCTGTAGTGTGTTCAGTTCTATAAATCTTTGCGATGCATCTAGCGTCTGAATTCATTGTAACTTGGCTATGGCTGTATTTGTAAGATTTCCAATATAGCTGTGTGAATATCAAGAAGATTGCAAACGTTGCTAATGCTATAAATGCAGTGAGAACATGCCCTACTTATGAGAGAGAGAGAGAGATGAGTGTCCATAGTCATTGCTGAATCAAAAGTGACATAATGATTACGAACACTGCCAGTTAGGGAAGCAGTACTTTTGCCAGTTATAAGCAAATGGACCCATGATTAAGTTTTCTTAGTTGTTGCCTGGATCCGAGAATCAAGTTTTCTGTCTTCTCGTTTTTCAGTTTGAGATAATTCAGACGCATCCAGTGTCGTATGTCATCAATGCACTGCTAGAGTCTTGCGATGTTGATAGAGGGTTCTGCAGTTTTGAAGGAGATATAGAGAAGGAAGCTTAAAGGTCACATGCAACATAAAACACAATTTTGCAGATTCTGATACCTTTCGGTATGGACTTACCGAAACAAATCATCAAAAATGCAAATTCAACTTATAAAGTTGAAAAATAACGCGATGAAAAAAACCGCGCGAAATCGGAGTTCAAACGTTTCACTAATTTTCCCCCAGCGCTTGGGGGAATTTAAGTGGTTTCAACAGCTGGGCTGCGCTGCGCTGGGCTGCGCTCATAGCAGTGAAATAGGTTCGCGCAGCTTGGAAGCGGGTTGTCCGGTGAATACTCGGTGAAGGCTTTGGTGTGAGCTATTTTTACTAATGTTTTGTTGATATTTCACGGGCGCGAGCTTTTTATATGTTATGACAGTAGATTACCGATTTAACTGTTTATATAATTTCATTTGTCTATTTCACCACACGTTCTTCTTACCGAGTCACTTTCTCAGTTCGATACTTAAAAGCGATGTCATTATTTAGCGTTGACAGAATTTCTAACTGTGATATAGATATGTCGTTGTCACAGACAAAACTTAATGTCTGTTTTATTGACACCTATGTGTCTGCCTGCCTGTCTGCTAATGACAATATTCAATACACAACTTCAATCACTGACCACATGCAATTTGAACTTAACACCTATTAGGCTATACACCATAAACAAAACGCATTGATTTATGGCCCGAGTTCGGTCTCTGTCACATTATGTAATTACACAGACAGGCAGGTGTGATACTTCGTACACATGACATGTTATGATGTCTGTTGATTGCAAAATGTTACACACAAAAAATGAGCATGTATTTACAAAACCCAACATCTCTATATATACACACACAAATGAGCCGTGAGGGCATTCTGCAAATGAGCCAGCCGTTACACTTGAGTGCACACCCACCCGCTCTGACTGGGTTCGGTATCCTGGCTGCTTCATTTCTTGGGAAGTAAACCCAAGTACAAAATATTGCACTTTTGATTTGCGATTGTACGCTTATAATTTTGTTTATATGTTTTTTCATAACCAGCAATGTATATTATATGTCATGAATAAGTGATAACTGTGTTTTAATTATGTTTGATCTTTTGGTTGCATGTGACCTTTAAGTAATATTTTTGATAACATCTACGATGAGCAGGGTTTTTTGAATAGTAAATAGGAGTGGTCCGAGAACAGAGCCCCAAGGAACACCATACTGACTTTTGAATGTGACAGAAAGCTTATCTTGAACTTTCATGGACATTGTAAGCCAGAAAGATAAGACTTTATGCACGGAGGATCTGTGCCACCAATACCAAGGTGTTCGTTCAGTCTGAGAAGCAGCATGGTATGATATATTTTCTATTAGTATTTCTAGCATTTTATGAAATACTGTTTTACGTGTATAACTGAGATACAAAAGCGGAACTATGTTTATTTTGTTCCCAGTAAAAATACAAATGTTTACACCTACGTTACATGGGTTACATAATATTTGTACCAGACCTACTGCCTGACAGTGCTTATTGTAACACGTAATACATTCTCTAATTAACACCTGTCTCAATGGACAAGTCGTTAGAGTTTGTACACAGGGATGGCTTATAATCGCGAAATATCATTAAACAAACTATCAGTTTGGTCCTGTGATGTTTTGTGTTCTTTGACATTCAAGATTTTAGTTCAAGAAATATAATTCCTAATAAGTAAGCCAATCTGATCTCTATTTGCAAGAAATTATTACCACTTATATCTGTTTGATTGGAAGTTGATAAATATTATGAATATAAGACAGAAGTTGTCATTCATTAAATAATCATACCTGTCGTCCTCACTTATATAAAACAATCATCATCAGCAACATCATTAAAAATATTTCAAGCATATCAGGAAATAATTGAACGCCATATTTTCCATTCAAAACAATATCATTTGACAACTGGTTGATAACAAAGGAAAAAAAAAGGATTTGATTTATTATACAACCTTTTTTCAAACCAGCAGGACAGTCGAAATAGTTTGTGCAAATCTTACAAATGCTTTAACTGTTTTATATATTCCTCGAAGGGCTGCAACATTTTACCACAGAGACCTGTATTTCTGAGACATGACCACAATTTGACATGATTAACAGAACTAAATGCTGTTGGATATTTCATCCTTCAGATTAGCCCAATTTGTCAGTCTAGTATTTAGCACTGGTATATATTTTACCAACTACACACAATAAGGAGATACTCTGTAGTTACCAGGACTGTTTATGTTTCCTTGTTCATAAAGAGGAATGATAGTGGCTATTGTCCAATCTTCAGGAAACGATCCGGTACCTAAGAACTTAGTAAACAATGGAACTAAGAAAGGAATTATATGTTTTCACAACATTTCACGTGTAACAGCATCATTACCCGGCGATTTACCATTCTTCAACTGGATAAGAGCTGAATGTATTTCTTTATCAGTGATGGGTGATTCCAAGACGACATTATCAATGTCATCTAAAAACAATATCATCATCAACCACAGCATCAACATCATTAGTTGTACAAATCGTAGTTGGACAGTTAAACACATTACTAAAATGATCAAACCAAGTTTCCTCACTTATATTATTCGCTACTTCTCGTCTGGGCGAAATGTTTCTGAGTACTTTCCAGAACATAGCTGAATTTGACAAATTGATTTCAGCTTGTTCTGGGTCTGGTTTTGATTATACACTTTGCTAGATTTACTGATTTCTTAGTTTACAATATTTACGTAATTTCTGATGACTTCTACTTTTCGATAAATTCTTAAGCTCTTACGTTACGTGCTGCATTTTTAGAGCTAAGACAATTAATGTTATGAAATGTTCTCTTTGGTTTACCACTTTTGACAATCATCAGAGGATAAAACAGTATCTGCAAATTTATAATAGCGAGATTAAAATCAGAATGTACGAGCATTGACAAATCTGTGAGCAACTGACATGACTGAGATAACAGATAATAGTTGGTATCAGCCAATGTTAACTTCAATGTACTACCCATTTCCTATATAATTATTTTTATCAAAAGTATCTTTGTTCA